AACTATGAAGGTATAGGTGAAGACAGGAGTAAATAAATTAAACATTAATTAATGTCAAGGAAGTTGAAGTTAGCAAATTTAAGTTACATTCTCATACTCATATTCGTCTATTTGCAAACCCCATGATGTTTATGGCTATTTCATTTTCACTTTCGTCGGTGTAATTTGACAAACTGTTTATTGTATTTAGGTACAGGGTTTTCTCGATATATTTTGTTTATGCTTATGCTTATCAACAGATTACTGTTACAGAGACAATGTATCTCACCGTTTGTTAAATGTTAGCAAACGTTTTATCACCAATATACGGTGGTGATATTCTTTTTTATTCCACATTCATTTTATTACGTGGTCCCAGTCTTGTGATGAAAATTCAAGTCATCGGAGTTCCTATGGTTTTCTTGTTTATAAGTGTTTATTGGTTACAATATTCATCGATTATTGTTCAAATGTCTTGTTTGTTTTTCTAGACATTTCATTTACATATACCATTAGGCAGAGTAAATTCATTGGCTTATTTAGATACTTTTGTCTCATAAAGGTCACTACGTCTTGCATTGTTTGTTTAGGAACTCTTTTGGCGCTGCAGTTGAGCGTCTGAAGTTAGTCAATTGCCTTAAATTTATCGCAGCTTATGTCGTTTGCAAATAATGAGTCCCATTATTCAGGTACACAACTGTTTAAGTTATTCAGCTTAGATATTTTGTCTGTTTGAATTGAAACTGTGCCAAATTATTTATTACTGTTGGAGACCTAAATTTCGAAGAAAGGCAACAGTTTTACTCTCTGTCCTTAACAGTGATATGATTTATGTAAACTTCTAATAAATATTAGAGATGTATTTATTCACACTGGATGAATTCGTAGTGGCACATTATATTACTGAGATCTCAGAGTTCTTATATCACTATTCACTAAAAGTCGTGTGATATAATTTTACTAACCTAATCACTGTTCTGTTGTGTAACTTTTCATGTTCTCAAATGCTATCTCCCATACTATACTACTATATAGACTTAGCATTACTAGAGTCAATTGTTATTATGACTATTATTACTTTCTTTTCATATGCTTTATATGCCACGCCTATAACAATCTGTTTGATCTGTTGCTAGGTAGCATTGTTTTGTTTTAGTTAGCCTTTTTTCTGGAATGACAAATTATGTGTATTACATATATATATATATATATATATATATATATATATATATATATAATAGTTAAATTTTAAAGTGACCACATATCCCATTATTAATGCTGCTTAAACTGTTTTATCTTTGATGAGCATGTTCAAATGTGTGTATATCTGTGCTTATTAATTTTGGGTGTGTTGAGTGGAAGAAATAGAGCAACAGAATGATTCATAAGATGATATTGTTCACCGTGCAAATGCAAGTGTGACTTTCATGATTTCAGTGTTCTAAGAACAAACTTAAGGTTATTTAAACAAATAACATTGAAATAAGAAAAGATGTCTACTCCCTCTGGTTGAAGTAACTAGGTCTCATAGATTCACTTGATAAAACTCTAGGTTAGTGGTGTGAAAACAACCTCTGGTTGGAATTCTGTCTCAAAGCAAGTTTCTAATTCATTTTCAATCATCATCCATTACATCAGCATTATTCTGCTAATCTAAGGCTATTTTAGTTGAATGCCTACTTTTCCGCGATGAAGCTGACCTCCAATGATCCGTAAACCTTATCAGCAGCTTTTTAAAGGGGGATGTATACTTTGATTTTCACTATTGTTAGTCATCCAATCTTCCATATAAGCTGGACACTTAAGGAAAAATGTATGCATTATTCAGATTGGATTATTCACAAAAATGAAGTTATATTTGGTATCTATTAACACTTTCAGTCTACTTGTTTTAGCATATAACTCAACATACAGTCATGGTTTGAAATGGAAATAAAACTAATAGGTGATTGAACGTGATAAATTCTTTTCAAGAAAAGGATATACTGTAAATTTATTGCTCCAATTGTGTTCATCTAAAGTGAAATTGTGAAACACTGGAAGTATTCTTTGTAAATATTCATTATGTTCCTTTAAACAACTGATTTTTTTACCTCAATAAATCAATGGTTCTCTAACTGATATCAATCTATGGTGTCAAATCGTAAAAACAAATCTAATCCTTACAAACCAACTCTTGAAAATTAATCTGATGCTCGCTAGTGACTTCCTACAGGACGGAGTTTGCTGGAATTCTAACGAGAAGTCGTGACCAGTGAGGTCCAACCAGTCAAGTGTGAGGATGGATTTCCCACTGATGACGTTGGTTGGTGGTCGCGCTAAATGCACCACGAATTGGTGCGTCGGTGGCACAGTGGTTAGGACTCTCGCCGACCATGCACATGGTCCGGGGTTCGATCCCCTGCCGGCGCACACCCGATATCTATGGTCGGCCTGAATTTGGGCTACCGATATCCATGCTGAAAATTCCGCACTTGTACTGAAAATACGGTGTGGAATCAAGCTGTAAATCAAATAAATAAATAAATAGATAAATAGAAGTTGGAATTTGTGCACTGGCCATTGAATCTGGTCCCAGTGGCTGAATGGTATACGAGCTTACCTTGTAACCAGAATGTCCTGGGTTCGAACCCTGTTGGTGGGTGAGTACTGCCGATGATTCCCAAACTATGACGGAAGAGCCGTCCAGTACTCCTAGGTTTTCCAGTGGTTCTCTAACTGAAATCAATCCATGGAAAAACTCGTACAAACAGATTAAATCCTTACAAAGCAACTCTTGAAAATCATAGACACTTGCTGTGGTGAATTATCACAACATATACCATTTAAATTGAAATGACAATAATGTTAATCTATGACTGAAATTGTGGTAGAAGTAAGTGAAAATAAACACGAAACTAAGTTACAACTCAATTCTTTTCGTTTCATATATCCCTAAATTCATCTCAGAAGTGGAGCAGAATTACCATGGTATTATACCTCGCTCCGACAACATTGCAGTCTGTTTAGTCATGTAATCTTGGGAATATAGATGTAACTAGCACACAAGTATCTTTCATTTCATTTCTACTCTTTTTGTATTTCTTATTAATCTCAGTATTATTGAATAATGTTTATTCTAAAATCCATTAAGGTGTTATGCCTCAAAAGTGAGACAGTGTCATGAGTATTAGACTTAGAGATGTTCATCTGATAACGTCAGTGGTGCAGCAGTAGAATGCTAGCCAACCACGCATGTGGCCAAGGGACAGATTCCCGGCGGATGCACTCCTAAACCTCATTTAGCTGGTGGTAAGCCTGACTAAGAGGGATGGTTGGGTGTAAGGCTAAATATCTCATCTCGTAATAAAGAATACCAACACTGCTACTGGAACTTCAAAGTTGAAGCTCGAAGCTGTATATTCCACTTGGAAGGCAAAGGAACAAAATAATATATTTATCTGATAAAGCACACACAGATAAAGTATTACTGTGCTGAGAGCTGTCTACTAGCCAAATTGGTAGACAGTAATTTACGTCAATATTTACGTTCCCAAGATTTGTCGTGAGAAAATGTGAACAAAGATTGATTCAAAACGGACCAGAGCGGACTTTGCGTAGGCGGATGCAGTTAACATATAGAGGATTTGACATTCAAGAAACAGTCACAAATAGATGAAAGATTAACTGTACGTGAGAAACAACCAATCGGAAGACTGTATTTGTTCGCTTAACTATCCATAATAATGTACATGAAAATATATAAATATGCGTTGATTTCCTTAATAAATGATCTGTTGCCTGAGTCTTGCCTTCTGTTGTTACATTACTAACTGAGAAAAGTTGTGAGTACACGTTTATTTACGTATGGGCGATAAATTGATCCTGAAACTTCATTCAGTAAACATTACTTCATTATTATATAATTTATTAAGTGAAAACACGACATAAATTTGCATTTTAAGATAATTGATTGTGTAAGCTATACGATGTAAGTTTCAATATGGTTGGGGGCTCAAAAAATTTAAGATTCCTAGTAGGAATCATCAATCACTTTCTTTCTTCCTGATGCTTTCCTGATGCTTCTTTGTTATACTATTGTGTGATGCAGTATGTAGCATCCCACACACTTATGTTTGTCAGTGTTCAGCGCTATTAATAAAGTATCTGAGAATTTCTTTTTTTATTTCGTTAGAATTATTGCAATATCATCACTTTGTATATTGTGTAAGCATGCTAACTACTGCTTAACTGACACATTATTTTACAATACAGTGATACTTCTTTGAAAAGTATGGCAAGCAATAAAATATACGTAATGGCACTAGCGAATTGTTAGTTCATTGTACTAGGCATGTAAATTTTAATTCAGTAAATTTATTTAAATCTGTCTTCATACAGCACGATTTCGATTACCTATTCTTATCAGAAAAGGTGTATTTGGTTGTTAAGTGTAATAAACATGTGTGTTTGGTTGACCAGATATGAAATAAAGGTTTGATTGCTACTTACAAAAAGTATTCTTTCCTTTATGAAGAATAAGGATACTTTCATTTTCAAGTGTTCGTTTGCAGGGATTTGATTGGTTACAGGTTTGAACACGAGTTTACATAGGTTAGAGAACCACTGGAAAATAAGGGAGTACTGAACAGCTGTTTCTTCATGGATTTGGACTCTTCATCAGTACACCCTCCCTAGGGTTTGAACGTAGGACATTCCGGTTACAAAGAGAGCTTATAGTTACACCACAATATATAAATATATATATATATGCCATCATTTCTTTATTTTTGTTGTTGATAAAATGTTTGTATATATTTAGAAATAATAGCTGGAGTTGGATGGTTTTTAACTTGACGGTCTACCAACTGGGTTATCATGATGATGCAACTGACATAGAACTTGAAAACCACAGGTACAAACCCCTCTGCTATCCTGTTTTTTCCTCTTTGTATTTATAATTACCTCGGTACAAGTGTATTCGTCTTTTTAGTGTATTTCTAATCTAAGTTTTTCTTACTTTTTTTCTTTTTATGTACTAGTGGCCACCTAGTGTTTCTGTTCCGTCTACCACGGCTACAGTTCAACAGTCGAACACATTTCAGTTTTCTCCTAACCTGTGTACATCTACTACATCTGGAGCGATTGTATCCCCAAGTAGTTCCGTAGGTGAATTGATGCATACAACATCTAATTCTACTTCAGATCTTACTACACCTCTTTTATCAAGCTTAGGACAAACAAGCCTTACAGTTTATCCAGTTCATGTTTCTGCAAATGGTTCGACTGTATTGATGGCTGCACCAGTAACAACAACTACAACTTCAACAGCCTCTCTTAACACTTCTAGACCATGTATTACAACCAATACATCTGTTCCTGTCTGTTCTTCATCGTTTGGAAATTATTTAAATTCAGTTAGTGAGACATCTACCTTATCTCCATTGTCTATTACATGTAATTCTAATCTATCTACAAATTCAGTTACTAGTCCTGGACTTGTTATGTCATCAATTCCACGTGGAAAGCCTAAGTTTAAGGCATTGTGGGAGTCTACACTTTCTGGTAATAGTGATCGTATTAATCAGCCATCTACTGGCGGTGAATCTTCAACAAATTACGATCAAACGATAAGTCGTTCTCTTGAGGAATGCACGACAGCGACAATAACAACGACCACAACAACTTCAGGATCATCATCAAGAATAAGTCGTTCAAATAAACGTCAGTCACCTATGCTCGGAGCTAAGTCAATCGGTCAGACACCTAAGCGCCTTGCTGCAACAGCAGCATCCCTTTCACAGGAAAATAAATCTAATTCTTCAGATGGTTGTAGAAAAAAGTTTCTTCTTATTTGTTCTCCGCCCAAAAATACACCAATAAAAAGCCAAATGGAATTAGATTCTGGTACATTCTTACCTGGTAATAATCCTACTTCTGAGTCCAACCTATTATCAGCTGTTACATCATCATCATCATCATCATCATCTGTGGAAGTCAATCCAATAGAATCTCGTAAGTCTACTTCTGGACAACCAACAACTATGTCTGATGATCGTGAAACACTGAGCAAAGTGACAGAACGTAATTCTACTGTTACAACTGCCACTGCTAATAGCAATCCCTTGAAACATTGCACAGGATCCAATATTTCATCTAGTCGTGATTCATCAGATATTGCTGATTCAGATCCTATTGGTTGTGAAGTATTTGTTGGAAAAACATTTGAAAGTGGAAGACGAAGTTTAAAAGAAGAAACGGTAAGTCTAGCTATTACAGTTATTATAATGTTTAACAGATAAAAAATTATTTACGAATAGTAATAGTAATGTTAAGTATTTTATTGTCATAATAATAATTTAGTGGTTTCACATATCCTTCCGATTGAAATATGTGTGCATACTGCCGTCTCGCAGATTGATAAGAAGTAATGAGGTTATTTCTTAAATGTAAAACCGTATTTCTGTAGTTGATTTCTGGTTGCTTTTTTAAAATTCAAGTCTTTTGTCAGTCTAGTCTATTCATCTTTTCCCTCAGTTACATGTATACGAAATACCTTATATATGTATGGGATATATTCTAGCAAGACTTATTCAGGACTCTAGATTATCGGCTTAAGGACCCAATAGATCCAATTAGGAAAAATAATATAATATACCAAACATCATGCAATGGCTGTGAGATAAATTACATAAGTCAAACTGGTAGATCAAGGTCAGCTATGTTATTGGAACATAAAAATTTAGCTGGACCTAGAATAATTGACTCTGCTAAGTTCAATAACTTAGTAGAAAGCTCAACCATTGCTCTGCATTCACTTACATGTAATCACAAAGTAGAGTGAGTGGGACAGAGTGAGAGTATTAAAAAGTAATACAGTTAGGTGGAGAGAGAGAAGTTAATCACTGAAGCTTTGTTTATCGATTCAATACTATACACATGTAATCGGAATGACGCAACGCTTATACCGGAGATATGGAAAGCGGCAACAAACAACAAAATGAAGTTGGAGAGACAGAATAGCGAGAAAATATATATAAGACAGGTTGTGAAAACGTGTGACTAAACTGATATGACTTTGAGCAATAATTTATGCTCGAAACCCTGTCATCCAGTTGTTGATACTGCACCACTGTGATATTTAAAAATAAACTTATCTAATATGGAATTACATTCTACCACAATGCCTAAGTTCTACACTTTCATTAAGGACTCTAAATTTTTGTGTTTATCTTCTATAGAATAATCATATAATAGTTTGTTTGACTATTCTCTTAAAATAAATACTTCAAATCCCTTGAACTTCAGATGCTGTAAGTGTTTGCAAATGTCTAGAAGGAAACTATAAGAGAGAATTTAAACGTTAAGTAATAAAAATGAATTAATAATGTAATTGAGGACACACAACTCAGCAGACAGATTCTCATTTGTAACTTCACTTTTAAGTTGTTCAATTAATCAGGGAATTTATATTATATAATGTTAATCAACGATAAGAGTCAGAAATATTGGTGATTATCAGCAAAATAAATCAAAGTCTATGAAAAGTAACAATATCTGAAAAGTAGTGAGTTATCTTAAATGACGTATCAGATTAACTTATCTGGTGCGGAATTATACTACATCACAGTCCATGTGTTCCACTCTTAAATTTTCATGACGGAGAACGATAGTGTCTTATTCCTTATTCTTAGGTGTGTGTGTGTGTGAACATTGCGATTTATAAAGTTTTATATTCTTGCAGTTGTTTCACATTTGCCAAAACAGTCATAATATAGACTTATTACCCGATTTTTTCGAACAGTGGTTATTATGCTGAAGTGAAGGCAGCAAACCACATTCTGTGACTTTTTCTTATTACAGTCACTTAACTGGATCTCTAAAGTACAAATTCAAAGCGAACTAATTCTACCATTGTCACTTAAGGGTCTTTTGTGCTATTGTCTTTTAAAAAGAAACGCAGGTCTAGATATTTTTTATTCTATTTTCATATATACCCATTATATTCCATACGAGTATATAAATAGAAGCACGAAAGTAAATTTTGATCAGAGTTAAAATCTAGTGAGCTTTATAGGCTAGTATTAAGTTACTTTTGTTTACACTGTCCATTTCTGCAAAGAGTTATTCATGAAGAAGGTGCTGTCTGAGAATTCTTAACAGAGTTCAGCACTCTCGCTAGATGGAGTTTCACAACCTAGTCGATTGACTTATCTTTCCCAACTAACTTTACTGTTTGACATCACTGGTTTTTCTCATCTCAGATAAGTTGCTCTTCATACTCTCTTATCTGGCTGCACGAGCTGAAGTTGACTACTCTGACTGGTACAATAAACTTTCTCAGTACTCCCTTTAAAACCTATGTGATTTTTCAATTAGGCTGTCAGATATGTCAAAATGTAGAAGCTTACCTATTAGTATATTATTCTAAGGTGTTAAGCATCCAAACAGCATGGACAGAGGAAGTGAACACGGGTAGAATGATATTAAAACAATTCAACAAGGTTTGTAACGAAGTTTGGTGGTAGCATAACAGCTGATAAAATATTTGGAATTATTAAGGTGATACGCAGTAAACACATCTGCGTAAATCTGATTAACTTCAAGCCATATTGCTGTAACATTCTGATCGTTGATAACTAATATCTCGAAGGCACCATCAACCTTTCTTTGTACTTTTCAGACTAATGGTTCGATACGTGATGCGTGTATATCATGCCTTACTCTGATTAGCTTTAGCTTTTCTACAGTTTATTTGTATACCAGCTAACTTTAGTTAGTGCAGAATCTGTTGATGTATTTTGGTCATCTTGCGCTTTGTGTGGTAACTTTATCCTATCCTCTGTAAACTGTAGATCAAATTGTAATTCCCTTTGATTATTCTTCTTTAAAATTTATATCTTAATCAGGCTATCTGGTCTATTGAGTAATTCAGTCATTCCTTTAACTGTTAGTTAGAAATGTCATCGGGATAAGATTTGGTGCAGATTAAGAGAAAAATGCCAATATAAGTATTTTATACTCATGATTGAATTCGACCAGTAAACAAATGACTAGCGTGAATTGAATTAGTGAGAAGTCGCAACCAACAGGGTCCTTCAAGTCAGGTAAGAGATCAGTTATTCACCTTTTACACTGGTTGGTGGCTGCGCTATATTTATATTGCGAATTGGCAGAAGTTGGAATTCATGGGCCATTCCATCGGGTCCCAGTGTCCGCATGGTCTACGAGCTCGCCTTGTAACCAGAAGGTCCTGCGTTCGAATTCCAGTGGGTGTGTACTGTTGACGAGGTCCAAACTCCCTGAATTTCCAGTGGTTCTCCAACTGTTGCCTACTCATGTTCAAATGTGTAACCAATCAGATCCCTGCAAACCAACACTTGATAATTATTATTTACGCACGGCACTAATTCATCCCCTAGCGTACAACTAGTAGTCTATTTGAATATCATTCCGGCAACATTGTCTTCCTTCTTCCATATGCCCGAAAGCAGGCTTCAGGTTTTACTCCTTTTGTTAAACAGAATATTTTAAAAAACTTCATCTTTTTGTAAATGCATAGCCTAACAGCATCAGACTGTCCATATTACTCCAGGTAATCCAGGTGAAAGATACTTTGTATAAATTTAATGCATACACTACTTTTTATCGCATTAAATTGATTTTCCATATGCCTTAATGATGATGACACTAGTGTGTTATCATAATTACAATCACTAGTGCTACTAAATATAGTGATAGACTATTTAATTCCACGCGTTTATCTAGAAGAGAGAAGACAAAAAAAGGTGTATAGTAAGCAACTAAGCAAATAAACATACAAATTACATAGGAACATTTTTTTATTTGTATACAAGAAAGAATCCATTGATTCAATTCATCATCAACACCATCAGTATCATTCATCTATTTTTGTTTTATAATAACCATCTCAAAGTAGGTGGGGTATTCTTATTCTTAATATTTTTCTATCTAGTCTCTTCAGTTTTCATTATCGTCATCATAATCGTTACCTAAAGTATGAATCATAGTGTGTAACCTTTTAGCCTGTTTTGTGCTAGCTGTCTTACTACCAATATCATGATCAACAATAACAACAACAACACCAATCATAATAATAATGACTGTGATGATTACGATGATAAATTGATTGTTTTTAAGCAATCAATTAACAGAGAGACAATATAGTAGTAGTTGTTGTTGTAGTACTAGTAGTGGCTTATTAACTCGTTAGTTGTTTTGGTTGTCTGTGAATCAATGATCGAGTGACTAAGTCTTTTTTTCTCATTTGTGTGTTACTACCATTTTAGTGAGTGTATATTATTTTGCACACAAAAATTAATCGATATTGATAGTATTTTCTATTCTATTATGACGACTACAATGTTGACGATGATTAGAATGATTATGTTGGTGCTGCTGCTGATGATGATGGTGCAAATCGATAACGACAAATAATCAAGCCACCTTTATCAGGATAGCTTTCATAGTATAGTATGATTAGATGTTAGGTGGTTGGAGGTTATTTACAGAAGCTCATGGACTTAGGTTTCTTATTGGTCCACCCTCATCAGCAAGCTTGCAGGTAGGCCTTGCTGACAATAAGCACAAAACCTAGGCCCAAGTTTTCCTGCCAATTGCTCCTAACCATCTCATAACAACTCATGCCCTAGCTGATATTCGAACCCGAGTCACTCAGCGTTGCAATCAGAGACGTTAGTATTGAGCTATTCAGGCTCACTAAAGCACTGGGAGACCTGGGTTCTTATCCCATGAGGGGTGCGGAAGGACATGGGGTCTTTTCAAGATTGAGATACGCCTGACTGGCCAGCGGCAACAAGCACGAAACCTAGGTCCGATTGCCGCTAATCATGAAATACCAACTCATATCCTTGCTGATATTCGAATATCAATTCAGAGTGTATCATGATGGCAAACCACCTAAATAGGTGGTGACACTGCAAAGTTCATTGATAGAATTCAGTCTGCACCAACAGCGAGGACTAGATGGATGACATTGGTTACACCGTAGTGTCCAATGTCTGGGTAATAAAATTTATTTTATTGCTTTTAGGAATATGCAAAAATGATTGGTTTACTTGTGTATAGTATGATTATCCTAGTGTTCAAATAATAAATCGAGATGATTTACTAGATATAACACATTAAGATTGTCTAAATAGTATTATTTTGCTTGCATATTTCCATTATTAGACCTTTTTAACAGTCATTTGTAACTTTTTGACTTGTCAAATAATTA